GGGGAATGCTCGAAGACATACTCCCATGCAAAACAATGCTCACCATAAATGCTGTCACTGTGAAGGCTGCTAGCACATCTTAGTTTAAGAGCACATTGAATCCTGGTGCATGCACATATCAAAAACATCGCTGACCACTATGGGAATGCAGGCGCTCTTTGTTGTTAACCTTTGTTGTTGTTGAATTGCAGTTAACTGCATTAAATTTTTTAGGGTCTACACAGCGCAAGCAACCCTGGAATCCTAGCTCTGGATTTATTTGCTGCTGATACGTCCAGAGTCATCACAGGTATGTAGTGATAAATCTACTGCATATAATGAAAATGATACTGTCAGATTCTGTCAAGGAGTTGTTAACATGGTATAATTCATTTCACTAGGTGGACTTGACAAAAACGCAGTGGTGTTCTATCGTGACACAGAACAGGTAAGACCTGAATTTAAACTCTTACTCAAAATCCCAAGCAGTAATGAATGTTCTTACTTTTCTTTTAATTAGTAAAAATAACAACACACTTGGTAATTTGACAGGATGGTCAAGGTGATTGGAGAAAATCACTGACTGTGTCAATAGACCATTTTACAGTTGTCTGCTCAGTGACCTAGCCTTTGAATGGCAGCGAGGTTGGAGGTAACGTTGTTTTGATACAGATCTTGCTGCTTTTGTTGTGTAAAACAAGTTGTTCTAATGCTAACTAGGTGCATTTACATGACAAAAGCAGTGAGGTCTGTATCAAAACAAAGTTAACTCCAGCCTCCCTGCCATTCAAAGGCCAGGTCACCAGGCAGACAACTGTAAAATGGTCTATTGCACCAATCCAGTTATTCCTGAATTGTTCTCCAGACATGAAGGAGAGGAAGATTTCTATTTCTAACAACTACTTTGCAAAATGAATTTGCTGAATCAAACTGTTTCATGAGCAGTCTAGTTTATCTTAGCAGTTCCAGGGAACTAATTTTCAAACAGTCTGCCATATATTAAATACCAGTCTGGCACAGTGGATTTTGTGGTCAGTTACTGTCTTGGTAAACAGCCCAACTATCTTGTAAGTTTTTCATAGATTCAGCAATCACTTACAAAGGGAAATGTATGGCTAGACAATATTATATTTTAAAAAATTAATGATGGTCTAGGTTGGACAAGTTATTGATTCTGCGTAACCATTTTTTTCTCCGCTTCAAATTTTTAGGTTATTGCAACTCTGAAAGGTCATACCAAGAAGGTTACAAATGTGGTCTATCATCCATTTGAGGTAGTAAGCTTCGCCTTCTTCATTATATAAACCTTTCCTCTACAGATTGTGTGAAACAATTTTGAATTAATAATATTGTTTACTGTTGGGGTAGGGATTATTTGTGAGGGGAAGGCTTGAGGATGAGGGTTACAGAAAAATACACATTTAATGATCTAATTTTCATGGATCTCCACAGGCTTTTACATTCATGTTATAACTTGTTTATTTTATACATCTAAATTTACTAAAATGTCATATTCAAAAAGTAGTTAATCCAGGTTGTTCAAAGCCAGTTTTGTAACTATTCGGTGAGGTTTTCTGTTTATATTGTTTGTCCTTCAGTTTTCAACTTAAGTAATTTCAAAATACACAAAACATAAGAAGTGAAAAACATTCTTGTTCAAGAAAAATTACTACTTTGATTAACTTTTAAGGACATGCATGCTAAATTGTTTCTGTGCATCCTTACTGCGCACACAAATTCACACGCCACCTGATGCATCGTTGCATGCGCTTAGTAGTAAAATGAATGATAGGGCAGACAGCCATTGCTATAGCTTTACCTGGATTTAACGATCTTAGACATCCAGTGACCCCTATTTTTCTTTTAATGGATCATTTCTCTATCGATTTTCTATGTTTAGCGAAAAAATGAAGAAAATCTATTGATTAGAAGTTTGAATGCCATTATTTTTAGCTCTTTGTTTATCTGTGAAAATGTTGGCAACATTTGGAATTATTTACGCAACAGACCCACTTAGACTACAAAATACGACTAAGATCGTTTGCCTCCCTTGACTCACCTTCGATATTTTTAACTATAGACCCCTGTAGACCATGCTGAATTATGTGCGCCAATTTTTCAAAAATCAGGGTAGTTTTCTACACGCCTTATCTTTGAAACGAAGTTGGCGACCCCCATTTTTTTTTGCATTTCTGACACAAGTAACTCATTATCTGAATGCATAAAAAATGTAAAAAAATCTGACTGGAAAATTTTTGTATGAATGTCCTTAATCCTGGGTTAGCTTTAATCAACCCAGCCCTGCTCTGTAAAATTAGATCATACAAATAATTTTTGTCACCATATCTGTCATTATCATTGAATTTTGTTTTAGGATCTTGGTTTCACTGGATCAACAGATTCAACCATCCGAGTGTGGTCCATTCCGCAGGCATCCTGCTCGCACATAGTTAAGGTACTGAAAGAATCAATATAAATTGTACATCGATTCTTCAATGGTGGACAAAATTTGTTGAGATACTTACAGAAAACAACACTTTACAATATTAAGCTCTTATTCTATTTCAGATGAATCTAGTGATAATTCTCAAATACCTCCACCTGTCCTCCTCACATCTCAAAGTGGTGTAGATGCTGTGGTGTGAAAAGTCTTAAGGATAAAAAAAAAACAAATTTTTATTGGGAAAGGACACTTAAAGATAAAATTGTACAGTTAAATGCCTGAACACTTCTGTCACCCACTAAGCTTAATTGTTTTCACACTCTGCCATTTTGGTTTGATCTCTTATCTTACCTGAATTCAACAAAATATTCAGAGAATGCCATAAAATCATCTCATTGTAGAAAAGAGATGGTTAGAATTCTGTTATATAGTCATTTACTTTGAATAAAGGTTATAGGGTGTAGGATTCAAAGTTTAACTTCAGAAGTTACATTGAATTTGTGGCAATACACATACCAATTTCATGTTACCATGATAATATATTGTTGACTACACCTGTTATCTCTGATGCACTATTTTGTTTTGACAGGCTCATGATCAAGCTGTTACAGGGCTTAGTCTTCATGCAACAGGTGACATTTTTGTGTAAAGTTTATTAAAGCACAAATGGTATATTATTTTAGATTCATCGTAATACCTTGACCTTGCTGACCACAAAGGAGAGGCAGACAGGAAAATGTTGGGCTCAAGGACATGGGTTATGGACTGAGTGTAATGTGGTTTGTGTGCAAAATCATCGAGAGCCAAACATTTTCTATTCAGCTAGACCTAACTCTGTCAATTGTTTTTGTTATCTAATACTAGCTTCATTGAGCTTGATTTTATTGGAAAGTCATGAAAGTGTGCAAATTGCATGTGCTAAAAGAATTGTTGTTGACATGTGGGACTGGATGGCAATTTGTCCAGCGCAGTGCACGTCAGCTTGTAGTATTGATTTCCGTAGGATTTCATTAGAGGGGCTGTGTACTGTGGTATGACTTTGATGAAATGTTTTGCAGAAGTTAGAGTTGTATATTAACATCCTTACACTTTGTTCTCCTTCTTCAGGTGATTACTTACTGAGCTGCTCAATTGATCAACACTGGGCTTTCTCTGATCTCAGAACTGGCCATGTACTCACAAGGTGTTTATCAGACCCTAACATCAATCAAGGTAATGAGACCCATAACAGTAGTTTAATGTAAAGACTGCAGCCTACAACAGCAGCTTGGTTTTTCACTTGTTATTTCATGCTGCTGTGGCTTTGCCTTTTGACAATACAAAGACAGTACAGACAACTATGCCAACTCTCCCGCATTAGAGTCCCCTGGATACAAACCAAATCTCCTGGTCTCCCACAAAAGTCACCAAACCCCCAGGACAATCAGTTGTGTGCTCAGTGACCTGGCCTATGAATGGGAGCGAGGCTGGAGGTGATCTTGCTTTGATAAAAACCTCTCTGCTTTCCTAATTTGCATGCCTACAAGTTAGCAAGCTAGCAACCTGATTTACACAACAAAAGCAATGAGGTCTTAAACAAAACAAGGTCACCTCCAGCCTCACTGCCATTCAAAGGCCAGGTGACTGAGAAGACAACTGTCAAGGGGAATATTCAAGGGAAAGCACATAAAAGAGATACTTTGGCCAGTTTTTGGCATTTTCTGGGGAACATGTTTTTTTTGGAAATTTGACACGTTATGAACAACTCGTTTTTAGTGTCAAGAAGATAAAATTGGCAATCTCCCAGATTTTGATATTTGTAGGTTGTTTAATTATTCCAAACCTTGTTGGATGATTCATGCTAATATATGTGTCATTAGAAGTGAAACATGCTTTTGACAAGTGAAAGCTGGTGACACATTACTACTTATAGGCTACTGAACTAAAACGTAGCGTTGATCCTTAAATGGTTGTCCGATTTACTTATTTATAACTAATAAATATTTTGCGTGTTATTGTTATTTTAGGATTAACTTGTGCCCAGTTTCATCCTGATGGTCTTATTTTTGGAACAGGAACAACTGACAGGTTTGTTATAAATACCAGAGACCAACATCTGATTTCTCCTTACAAAAACAATACACTGTCAAGCAGACAGTAACAAGAGAAAAGAAATGATCAACTAGAGATGCTGTTTTGATGAAACACAATTCCTAGAACTATTTGGTAAAGAAATTTATGACAGTCAGTAAGGAGAATTAGCTTGGAACCGAAAGGTATATAAGGCACACATACTAGCTGCAATGTAAACAAAAATAATCACTTGGAAGTATCATCTTCAGCAAAAGACTACTTCTCCTTCACCTGGAGGTTTTGTTTTACCAAGCTTGGCATATTAAGTGTTACTTAGTTTTAATAGCATGGCTTATCAGAAAACGAAACCCAACAGGGACAGTTGAAACTAAAAGACAGGCTATCTCTAGCCTGAAAGTTTTTAAACATCTTTTTTTAAAAAAAATGCCTTGATCCGGACAAAACTTCCTGTTTGGCTAAATTAAAATTCATGCACACAAAGCAATAACTTCTTTAGAGGACGTGCGCTCATTCATACACCACAAACGTGTTTAGAAAATTGCTTTGGAATGGCACAACTGTCAAACGTGAAATACGGATTAGTGAGGTCTTGCTTGTTATTAGAGTTTCATTTTGAAATTGTGTAGCTCTGAAAGAAACTTTCTTACCTAAATCAATATTCGTGATTTTTAAATCATATTTAAACGAATAATTGAAGCGTTCCTTCACAATTCAAAAGCTGCAGTTGCCGTGATAGTTATGTGAAATATCATTTTTTAATTGCATAATTGTAAATTATGTTATGTTACACATAAGTAAAGGTAATCGTATGAATGCGAGTGCAATGAAGGATTTACACTACGAGTAATGTTTGAAAATTCTCTCAAAATTGCATGAGCATTTAGGCGAGTGCAATTTGAAAGAAGTTTCAAATATCACGAGTAGTGTAAATTCTTAATTGCTCAACCTTTCATACGATTACTTATTTATGATATGACCGAGAAAATTGCGAACGCGCGCGCGTTATTTTGCACTGCAGTGCAAATTAAGAATTAAGGATAAATTGGCCTGCTCTAAGCCAATCACAGTGAAGTAATTTTCTCGATCATATAATAATAGCTGTTATTTGGTAATAACTTCACATTTGGTATGGTGTTAACAGCGTGATAAAGATTTGGGATCTCAAGGAAGGTGCTAACGTCGCCAAATTTCCAGGTCACTCTGGTCCAATAACAGATATCTCTTTCTCAGAAAATGGGTAGGTATTGGTGCTTCAATTATAATTACAGACGCTTTTACAAGAGGAATAATTCCTTGGCAAAACTTGTAATTTCGGATATGTAAATTAGTGTGCTAGCTGGCGTGCGAAGAGCTTTTTCCGCATTCTGGCCGCGCACAAATTGGAGTGAAATAAAAAAATTGGGAACGCTTGCTACGCAAGTTGCTTTTGAGTGACTCGGGGTCTGTTTCTCGAAGGTCCCGAAAAGTTTTCGCACCCGGAAAGCCGTAGGAAAATCTTAAACCTTATGATAACAGAACTGTTTTATTCTCTTGTTCTTAATATGAAGAGAGGCTCTCTTCATACAAGGAGTTTCAGGCGTATACACCTCTCAGCTTTTAGATACAGATTTATCAAAAATGGCTTTGCGGGCTCGAAAAGTTTCCGGGGCTTTCGAGAAACGGGCCCCGGGAGCTGGGCTGTTATGACTGGTGGTGACAAAAAGCGCGGGAAAATGCACCTGCTTCAGGTCGGAGATTGGTCGAAGGAAGAGCGGGAATATTTCTCTCCTCGTACCCTGATTGGTCGAAAAATCCATGTCTCCGTTTTGATTGGTTAGAATTTTCTGCAGCTTACTGCTCAGCTGCGTATGTTACCAGTGCAGTTACAACCTTATTTCGATAGTGACAAAAACAAGCACCCTTGGTTTTGCTACTCTTATTGTCCTATCTGACTGCTTTAACACTAAAAATATGTTATTATTATTATTGTTACGGTTTCCTTTCAGTTACTACTTGGCTACATCCGCCGACGATTCGGTTGTCAAACTGTGGGATTTACGTAAACTGAAAAACTTCAAAACCATAACGCTTGAGGATAGATTTGAGGTATGTATAAATGAAAAACCAAAGTTGAGAATTACCTTCTCTAGATTCGATGAGAACTCTAGTCCCTTGTTTAAATCGCATGAAATTATAAAATGTTTTGATCTAGTAACATTATTTATAGCAATGTTTAAAGCGCGCGATATTGACGTGGGAATCACATGGGTATCCAATTACAAAAAGTTTATATTGGATAGCTGTAATTGGACACCCACGTGATCGCGTGCCGATTACGCGACAAATAGGCGCACGAGAACCAATCAGGATCAAGAATTTTGTGAAAGATACTATTACTATCATAATCACCCATTACCATCTGTCTCTATTACTTTCTTCACTTAATTAACACAGATCCATAACTATAACACAAGGCTTGCTGCAAAACAGTCTTCTTCCAAAATTGAAACACCACTTGATTAAAGATTATTAGATATCTGTACATCGCTCTTCGTGGGAAAAAATAATGTTTTGCAATGTAAGAACTCAAGTCTACTGGTAATTAGCGTAACTCTGTTTATTTCTGTTATTCTGTGTGTGTATGTTGTTTATTAGACCTAAACATGTAAAACACCTTTCCTTTTAACTGCCAGCCTGGCATTTTTAACTCCTACGTAATTTTGGGTAGCCAGCACCCCTATCATTTTTGTTTTTTACTCTAGCAAAATATTGTATTTTCAAACTCTGGGATGAAATGAAAGTTTTTGTTGTTGTTGTTGACGCTAAACAACATTGTAAACGCTGCTTACTTTGATTAGATTTTAAAACGGCGGGCTTTGCGACCTCAAGTAAAGTTAGTGTATGGATTACAATTAACGGAAAAACTGGAATTATTGGGTCGATAGGGGGAAAACATTCTAACACTTCACGTTATCCTACAAGAAGTTTTGTGGTTAGCAATAATCTTGTTTTATCCTGCAGGTAAAAACACTGAGTTTTGATCAGAGCGGTACATATCTGGCTGTTGGCGGCACTGAAATCCAGTAAGTCAGAATTTGTAAAAACAACTTGCGTGTCAATCGTTTGCGTTAGAGCGGTTTTCAAATGAGTGTCGTAAAACCAAAACCAAACAAGTTACTTACCAATTAGACTACTCAGCCAATCTCAAACTGCAGTAAAACCAAAACTAAAACCAAAGTAATTGCCTGATTACTTTCCACACTCAATAGAAAACTGCTCTATGGTAGTCTATATAGTCACTGTAGATGTTAGTCGCAATGTTTTCGTGCTAATTTTTAATTGCTTATGAAAGCTGTGCCTCGAAAGCGACGCTGTACCTCGACAGACTTGTTTATTAGGGTAGAATAATACCAAAACAGTTATAATGAACTAAATATAAACAAAGATGGTCAAGATTAAGGAAGATTAAGATGGATTTATACGATAGACAAACTAGCAAAGTTTCACAATCCGTTAGGTTCGGACGAAAACTTCCAGTATAGTTATTGCTTTCAGTTAATGTCCTAAAAAAAGGTTTTGGTTGCTTATCTTGGTGAAGTAAAATTATAATAAAGTATAGTCGTTTGCCTGGCGTTGTGACTGTATACCGCCAGTCTTTATCAGGGGATGAAATCGACTGATTATGCGTCACCTACAAAGCAGGAAAGTCCGCTGTGATTTGTTAGTTTTCAACAACTGTGATTGGCGCATTTCGAGCATCACTGTTTCATTTAGTTGTTCCCTCGGCGGTCCGATGTCGCGCGGCTCTCCTGTTGTTGTGTTTCTTGATCTTGGGCGTCCATGCTTGAGGAATTTCTATTCCACTATCACTGTTGATGTTGTTAGGGTGAAGTCTGAAATGAATATCCTCTTTGACCTTGTATGTACACAAGCACGTTCGATCTCATATTGAGCACGACGTGGATTTTCATCGATGCACTGTATTAATGAAAAACTCTTGTTAACGCCTTTTCTGTTTGTTCCTTTTCAGGATTTATCTCGTCAAACAGTGGGAGTTGATCAAGTCATTTGCAGGTAATTGGGTGTTAATAATTCTTTTATGACATGAAATGTTTTTCCACCTTTTATGAAGAACCTGAATCTTTACCAAGAGGCATTGTCACTTCCCTTTAGTTCTCTGTCGTGTATCGCAATAAGCCTCTTCTTTTCCATAACGCTTTGTTAAACTTCACGAACCATTCAAATACGGCTGCATGTGTCTATCTGAGTTTATTCTAATGTTTGTTACTGTTATTTTCAGAGCACTCTGGTGTGGCGACAGGAGTGAAATTCGGCAAGCACGCTTCATTCATTGCATCAGTCGGCCTCGATCGCCATCTCAAGTTCTACTCGCGGTAAAACTTGGCAACATCTGTGGTCACACCTTCACGGAACATAAACCTTACTACTATTAATCTTTTCTCTGTCTCGTGGGTACTAGGAAACTCTCAAGTCGACTGCAATGGTCTCAGTTTTATAGAATGCGAATCGATACTTGGGTGCTGTTTAAAAGCATCATGGTTTGAAATATGTTAAGAAAAAATCTGTAAAGTAGTAAGCTCTTAGAACTGTAATCTCTTCACGCGAAATCCTGGTTTAATGTTCTCAAACATTATCTATAAAGCCAATTACTCCGAGAAATATTTCAATGTTGACATTTTGAGAGGTCATTCTGTATTAAGGACGATCATTTAATTTCGTTTAGATATCAGCGGTTGTTTCAGCTTAGTAGTTACTAGCCCGACGACTTGGAAGGACAATGTTCGGCGTCCTTTCAAGGTTACTTTGTACTGGAAAACAAGCGACATGGGCCTAAAACCACCCTGGCTCGTCGCACTCGTATTATTTCTGATCCTGATTAGCCAATCATGTCATATGGATACGACCTGTTGCTTAGCAACCTCTGACAGAAACTGCGGACTCACTCTAGGATTTCTAACCGCGTCTTGTAGAGAAAAAAAAAAAAGCTGGACGAGTGCGCGCACTTTGAAATCGCTCCGGGAGAGCGATGACTCACCGTGTTTTGTCGGTTTTTTGAACAGTTGATTATTTGCCAGTCTTAAATGGACCAATTCATACATTCTCCTGTACTCCAGAGTTCCAGCAATGCTTGCTCGCTCTCTTATGACCCGGGCTACCACGGTTTGAAGTGAGCTGTTCAGTGTTATTGCGTTTTTCCCGGCTTATTGGCTGCAATGGTCAGGCTATTTTGCGTCTCTGGGTTTAGATTTACGACAGGCTTTAGAGAGATCAGAAACTGCTCCTGATATGTGTACAAAAGTTTGATGGTGTTTTATGTACTGTGTAAAAAATTTCAATCTTTTTTTAACTTAAAGATAGCGTCAACTTGCTCCAAATAAAATGCAAAACTGTGTGGACTGAAACATCGAGGAGTCTGAGTTAATTATGTTTGATTTCGCGCTTGCTTTCATTTGAGCATTCGTTCATTCGTTGCACAGCTGCTAACATTGCGATGAAATCTTCACTTTGTTAAAATTTAGATACCTTATTTTTGACCTGACCCAGTTTCAGACCTGCCTTATGTAAATTAGTTACCTAGTTCAAACCGATGTTAAAGGCATTGTTGAAGGGCTTTTGTTGGTGGTGAAAAAGTAGCTTCTTCTAAAAACGTACTCAATTCAAGACTAGAGTGCAAAAACCATACCGTATTTTGACCAAAAAGGCTGAAAAACCATACCCTCTGGGGGCGCACAGATAGCCCATTTTAGAGAGTATATATTTGAGCCAGTGTTCACAAACAAAAAGATCGCTTTTCGTCTGAGAATCACGGAAGAAAAGCCTCCCCTGATAAACCAGCAAAGTGTAGTATACGAATTCACATTTGATTTGTGCCATGCAAATTATATTGGGCACACTTGCCGCCACCTCCATCACCGCGTAGAAGATCGTGAACATTCCGTGATCGGAAAACATTTCAGGGTCGAGCATGCCTTAACACCTGACAACTTAATTAAGAAATTTTAAGTCCTCAAGAAATGCCGTGGCAAGCTCGAATGTGTAATCTTTGAAATGCTGTTGATTAAGAACAATGACCGAAACTGAACACGCAAATCGGATTCCATTCGCGCGAAACTTTTTACATGAATGTTTTCATGTAACGTTTGCTAATTTCATTTTCTCACATCCTAAGTACTATAAATATGCCTTGCTGTTATTTTTAATTTATTCATTCGGCAATGATGACATGAAGTCGTCGAAACGTCATGTAATTTTACTTACGTTAATTTTCCTGCTTAAATGTTTTTCGAAATCGTTTTTTATAAAAAGTAAACTAGATTCAATAAAGATTGAGAAACAAGTTGTATGAAGACAACAGTTATATCTTTTTTATCTTTCTCCGCAGTTCAAATACATGATCTTTCATATATTCACTTGTATACAAGTTGTATCTTACAAAGAGACACGTGCCATGTCGCGCATACAGTGAGCTTATGTTTGCATCTCCTCTCTCCTCACTTCTCTCTATATCTGAAGGTCCAGAAATATCCACCCCCTTTACTAGAGCAAGGAGCACCTTTCTGGTTATGGTTCAGCTTGTGCTTTGGAGAAGCGTTGAGTAGGCCCCCTTAATTTTCTATCATTTCAGAACTTACGTTGAATCCCGCCTACCCTTTCTCTCCTAAAAATGGAAGAAGGAAAAGTTACCAAATTTCATACCCTATCTTCTTTGACAAAACTAAACTATGCCCCGCACCTACCCCCCCCTCCTCCCCCCCCGCCCCGCTTACCCCATATAATTATATTATGGGCCCGGTGATGACCAACTGGGCTGTGGAAATTTTGATCGCTGTAGATTAGTGACCAGAGAAGGCGTCTTAAAGGAGCTCAGTCACTGTATGGTAGGAAACCTGAAAATAACAGTTTAATAAGATAGAAAAACACCAAACACATAATGATAAACCATAAAGGAGCAAGGATGGCAAAGGATGGAGAAGATTAACAAGGATTGCAAACGACGAATTTGAAAAACTGAGGCTAAACTTTTCACTATGCACAAACCGTGACTGAGCTCCTTTAAATTCAAGCCAAGGTTTGTCTTGGCTGGACTAAAAGAAGAAATGACCATTTTCCGGTCCAAATGCTATGCTTCACGACATGCTCACGTAGAAAAAAATTGTTTGCATTTCTCATTTGATCTCGTATGGATGCACGGTTTTCCGAATACAATTGATGACGTATAATTTTTGTAATTCATGAAAATCTACCAATTAACGTCACGCACTGTACGAGGAAAACTCCTCAGTAGCAAGCAGACCCTGTGATCAAAATAAATAGGAAAATGGTGAAGAAATAGCGAAGGCCGAGCGAAGATCAAAGGCAGTGGACGAAAAAAGCGGATTTTTTACGGCTTCCGTTCTGTATTTATTGCGTCGTCGTTTCTATGGTAACAGGAAACTATTCTGCTGACCAAAAAGAGTGCGTTTTCGTATCCTTCGGGCTTTGCTTGGTCGAGTCTTTTCCTCTTCGTGAAATTGAGTTATTTGTTTTCCCTGTTCTCTTCAGTCACGCAGAGTTTCTAGTGAGCTGCTCAGGTTTGTACTGGAGGCTTTGCTTGTTTGGATAACCATGAGTGGAAGATCGTCCAATTCGAATGAAGATTCGGCGGGTCGAGCCAAGAAGAAAGGTGGCGGGTTTTTGGCGAGGCAATCGAAGGCGAAAAAGACAATAACTGAAGAAGAACTACTGAAAAAGGACGCCGTTACGCCGGACGACGTCTTGAAGTTGGAAAAATGCACAGAAAGTAAGCAGAGAGCAGTTAGTTTACAGCAAAAGTAGCCCAGGGCGAGTGGCAAAATTGTAGCCATGTTCAGTGAAGTTACAGTTCGTCGCTGACTGTAACTTCATTGTCATTTGTATGCTAAGCGTTTTCCCTTGCTTTGTCTCATTTGCAGATTACCTCTGTGAACCTGGTGCAAATGTATACAGCATCGACTTCACGCGCTTCAAAATCCGCGATATGGAGACAGGGACAGTGCTTTTTGAGATAGCTAAACCTGATAACATCGACGAAGAAATTCTCGACAACGACGACGATCCAAACGCCGGACGATTTGTAAGATACAAATTCACACCGGAGTTTTTGAAATTAAAAACAGTAGGAGCGACGTAAGTAAACTTTCTCTAGCTCACTGCACGTTTTCTGCCTCAGGAAATTCACTTAGCTCCGATGTTCAATTCTCAAAAACTCTTATATGTCTGTCTGATCATTTGATGATACACTTTTACTAAGTAATACATTAAAAGTTTTATTGCATGCGCATATATTTATACCTAAACTGGTGTAGCTGAATTTATTGTCTTTTTGTTAAAAATAATTAATACATAATTTCTAGATTACCTGGTTTATGATCTCTATTTTTTTCTTTCCTGTTTTACTGATCTATACACATTTCTTCTCTTTCTGTTTCAGTGTTGAATTCACTGTAGGCGACAAGGCAGTCAACAATTTTCGGATGATAGAGCGCCATTATTTCAGAGATCGATTGCTAAAAAACTTCGATTTCGAGTTTGGATTTTGTATTCCAAATAGCAAGAACACATGCGAACATATCTACGAATTTCCAGCCTTACATATTGATGAAGGTCAGTATTCAAAATATGCTAACAACTAAGCTTAAGCTTAATTATTTTTATCTAAACACGACATAATAATTACTCGATCGCCCATTTTAATATTTATAACACGTCCCTATTACACTTGAAACAAAAATGATAAAAACATGTATACTTCAAGCTCACTAGACAAATTTCACAATGTGATAAGATGAAAATTGTTTTCGATTTGATCAGCTTATAATCCAATCAACCACTTGGCAGTATTCAATGTTTGTTTAGGGAAACAAACTTACTTGTTTAGTCTAGATTTGGAAACTGTGAACTTACCAAGTAGCAAGTGGTGGTAATCAAATGAATGTAAATGAAAAACTCATGTCAGGTTACATAAATATATTTACTGAAAATGGGGAGAGATGACACTGGTTTGATCTGAGGAGAAGTGGATAAAAAAACAAAATTTTCACTTCTTGAATTACTTGGCAATTTATATTCTAACTAGAGCCTTGCTACATACTAGATAACAAGTTTGGGTTGCACTAAACAAAACAAAGACAGGAAAATGCTGCTAACAGATTTCATGTTATTTCTTTTTTGAGTGCAGTTTTTTCCTTGTGGTTTATTTGAGTCATAAGCAGAATCTGTGTTCTGCTTCTGACTCTGTTGGTTTGATTTTCACTTGATCATATCATTCTGCGACTCTGATTGCGACTCCATTGCTATTGAAAAACAGCCATAAGAGCTAAATTTGTACAAGTATTTGCTATTCTCTTCAATACTTCAACTTATGAAAACCCTACCCTTTCATATACTCCACACTGAAAAAGGACCACTTTAAGGCAGACCCTCCCAGTACAGTCCATTGTAGGGAGTACCTATTTTCCTGGGATAATAGGACAGCCTTGGGTTTTATGTTGTGTAGCGGGGCTGCAGTGGTTGCTTATGACTGGGAATATGAACAAAAGTGAAGTGACCCCCTGGGAGTACATGCCACCTATTAAAGAATAGTTGCCTTAAGTGTTACAGGGCATAAAATGGATTAGGTTTAAGTAAGTTATTAATTTTTATTGTGAGTAGTAAGTATAGGTAATGGTATGAATGCGAGTGCAATTGGATTTACACTATGAGTAATATTTGAAAATTCTCTCCAAATATGAGCCTTTAGGCAAGTGCAATTTGAAAGAATTTTCAAAAGCCACAAGTAGTGTAAATCCTTAATAATTGCTCAAGCTTTCATAGGTTTACTCGTTTATTTTGTCTGAGAAATTTGCAAACACGTGTGCATTAATTTGCACTGCAGTGCCAATTAAGAATTAGTGATAAATTGGCCTGCTGTCAGCCAATCACAATGAAGTAATTTTCTCTGTCATATAATAAAGAGTACTGACAAGGACAGAGTTTTAATTGTTTACAATGAATGCAGTTACATTACTGTCCTAATGGTAATTTGCTTTGATCTTCTCTTTCACAGTGCAAGAAATGATTGATCATCCATTTGAAACAAAGTCAGATAGCTTTTACTTTGTGGACAACAAACTCATCATGCACAATAAAGCAGATTATGCATACGATGGATAGCGTTTTCAAGCAATATCACATCAGAATTAGTGCTTGGATGTGTACAGTGACTTGTATAAACATTCATCAAAGACAAATCAAAAGCTCTCTTAGGATTTAATATCAACTCTTGGTTCCATGGCCAACATCAATCAACATCAAAACTCTCATTACTTTTCCACACATTTTGTAGAAATTCTCTGTGGGAGAATTTGGTGTTGGGCCATGTCTTCCCCTCATTAGACGGTTTGATCAGGGCTTTTACTCTCATTACCTGCTCTCTTGAATTGTTTTGAAATTGTAAAGAGAAGTAAAGAATTGATTGTTACTGTAAATTTTGCAGTTAACTAGAACAGGTGTAGCTTGTATTACTTGCTATGTTATATATTATTTCACAATTTATTCAATCAAAACAAACAAAATGTTTTGGGAGGTGTAATTTGCCATCAGGAATAATTCCATTTTTGTAAAAAACAATCCAATCCTCTGTGCTGGCATTGCATGTTTGTAAAACAAGCAACTATAGTTGATCTAGGGCATATTAAGTCAAATCCGCAAAATTTGACTTATGTTTAAGCAGCTTGAAGATACGTTTTGTATAATCCCTCAATGTTAACCAAGTGAGCCTGTATTGTGAACATAAGCCAAGAAAAATACATTGTTGGATTGAAAATGTTTTTATTTCTATCCCAATCCCCATCCCCAGATCACAGGTTGGGTTGGGTTGTGCAGCCCACTTCCCAAAATCATTACCCAATTTATGACCAAAATCTGCACTTCTGCCTACGCAATTTATGACCCGACCGTTAAATCAATACCCCGTTTCAGACCTGCCTTATAATTAGTTCCCTAGTTAAGACCAATGTTAAATTGCCGTAAATATAATTTGAGAAGGGCTTTAGTTGATGGTCTTACTGAATAGTGATGAAAAAGTAGCTTCTAAAAAAGTTCCCAATTCAAGACTAGTGTGCAAAAACCTTACCCTATTTATGACCAAAATGGCCCAAACTGATACCCTAACAGCTGAAAAACCCTTCCCTTGGGGCTGCACATTATTACCTATATAGCCCAGAAAAGGGAGTACCCCCTCCCCAAGGGGTGTGTAGAAAATACTCTATAACAATAAATCCTCTAAAGCTTGACACATTACAGTCAAATCTCTCACTATAATGCAGTTGATGCTCTAAAAATCTCACTATAATGCTTGCTGAAGGAGTTGCTATTATGTGCCATGTTTGCATTAAGAAGCTCATAATTATTTTGCCGTAACATTTTATGTTGAAGCATGAGCAACACCTCAATGTGGTTAACACTAAATGAGATTTCTAGTAATAAAAATCTCACTCTGATGTAGGAAAAGACAAGAGGGATGAATTCACAAACCTGCTGGCACGTGCTGTGTACATTGCAGTCAAGTGACTGCATGGTGCCCAGTTTTCTTTTTTTTTGGGGGNGGGCTGCAGCTAACCTTCACATAGCTTTTGTCACTATTTACTGACATAGTGCTTGATTCTTTGGTCTCACTATTATGCCCAAAATAAAATGCCAAGATAATATGTAAAACACTACCTACCAATACCCCAAACCCCACTATTTTTGTTCAACCCTTCCACTTGAGAGAAATAACTCTCTTACAAGAACAAAGGCAATCAGTAACTATATGGCTTTCACTGTCACTACAATGTTACTTCTGCTTTGTCAAAATGGTGCTAACATGTCTGGATACATTCACTTGAACGAAAATGCTTGTAGAACACAAAGATGAAGGTATTACGTAACTTGTCGAAGGGACAACCAATTGTAGTTTTAGTGATCCTTACAAGACAGAAAGACTTTCACTTTGACATCGCAACATTGTACAAAAATACCTGTTACAACTCTGCATAACTTATGTGCACTTGTATACCAACTTGTAACAAAACTAGACCATTCTATTTAGGTTTTGTCACTGAAAATATGTCTATTAGGTTATGCTTAGTATAGTAAGGTAGTCATCCTTTAAATAATTACCAAATTCTGGGTGTTAACTCTTTCAAGCATGTATTACACTCAGTAAAGAATTTCATCTTTGTACAGAACGTTCCAAGCCTGGGGTGTGTATGTTATTGCTGAACAATGTAAGTCCATTTTCTAACCAGATGAACAATATTCTGATGCTCTAATAAAACAACAAGCCAAACGCTATTCATCATGATACTCTGACTGGAACAAAGTGAGGGTTTTTAAAAACTAGGTAGGACACCTGACCAATTACAACTCCACACAAAATTCCCCAAGTATTTCTTCAACTTAACTACACTCCTGAAGAGACCCCCTCAATAATTATTAGCCTCTGCCCACTGTTACCATGAAAATAGGGAATAAGTGATTTGGATGTGTTCTTTGAAATTATTATAGGGGAAGGTAGTCTTGAGGTAAATCCAAGTGTTGTGATAAGTTCTTTCTTGGTATTTGCCTTATTATATGGTTAGCTCGTGTGGGCAAGATGAACCAAATCCTGTGGCGTGATTGGATGCCTGAGTGGGCAAGATAGCCCGCCGTATCCCTCAAGAAAAATTTGCCTGAAAGCCATAAAATAAATCCTTTATTGACCAACGTTTTTCAGTCTGACAATTTGGCTGGATTTTGGCCTTGTTCTTTTTTTGAGTTTATGGAGCTCAACTCTGTCTTGGTCCATAACCACACAAAGAGAGGGCTTGGCCAATACCAAGCCATCTTGACCTCATGCTTGGTCAATAACCCATATGCACAGACTGTTTCCAAAGAAACGGTCATAAGCCGTGTATTTTTTTGTTTTTGAAAGCCTGCAATTTCAAATTAGAGTGCCACATAATAAACTATAACTAACCTAGCTTGCTCAAGCCATACTGGGGAATATTGACCCTCGGTTGTTTTAGTACTTTCTACACTCAGTCCATACTGCCACAGCGTCAAGCCAACATTCTCCTGTATGGCGCTTGCCCTTGGTAAGTAAGAGGTTGGTAGCCAAAACTAAAACTCAGTAAAACCCATTGACCCAAGAGAGACCAGAATTGAATTTCCCATGACAAGTTCAAACATATTTAGCTAACAGCTCAAGGAAAATTAATGAAATGATCACCCAAGGGGGCTTAATGTTTCCACATTCTCCCAACTGATAATATGAGAAATGTATAGAAACTATTGAGGAGAGTTTGTACAATGTATGTTGATATTTTAAACACTCAAAGGGTTTTAATAAGGTCATTCTTTACAGGAATGTGTATAAATCTGAGATGAGTGCATTCTTTTGTACATAGATCACTTCCATGTATCTACAGTTCATCATTAGCTAATTACAACAACCATCTTTCATCAATCAGCATTTTGAAGTTTAACATGCATTAGCATCACAAAACTGAACTTGTGAGCTGTAAGACAACAATGGACACGACAACTGTACAAGTAATAAATATTTTGTCCATCCCTGTCTTAAATAGAATGATGATACAAGAATAAAATTATTAATACTTTTCTAAAAAGTCTTGACATCAAGGTATAAAAATCTCATTTACAGTTCTGTTGACCTATATTATTCTGATGTGCATACCTACAGTATAAAAATACCAGCCACTTTCTGTGCCTGTCCCATGAAATATAGTTCTCAGTAATTATAAGCTGGCCATATGAAACACAGGCACTTTGTCCCTTAATTTTGTCTGTTCAACTTCATGTAGAGTCCTTCATCGTGTACACTGCCAGCACGATACAACCTGGGTTTCCACAAGGCAGCACACTGCTTCTCCGAACCATGAATTAAATGCTGCTAAACTTGTCATGCTCTTGTTATATGTTTGTAGGGGTTGAATTGAACATCAAGGAAACTATACCATTTGGTGCCTCATACAAACTTTTTTGTACCAATTTTCTCTATCCAAGAATCTTAAGTAACTGGTCTAACACCAGAAATATTGAAAAACTAACGGATAACATTTTTGTTTAAACCACTTTGCATCTTTACAGGATGTTGCCAATAGCTAAAACATTCTTATCAACATTACAGTGAGCATCAAATCTCTACTGAGGATTTCTTTGAATCTAAAATTATTTAAGCATAAAAGTTCCATTTACCACCACGGTTTAACTGAAGAAAGTTTTAGCAACCAAACCTTGGGGAAACTACTTACCGATAGAAATTAAAATGATATTCAATCCAAGCCCTACAAGATGGCCTTATTTCTGTGACTGAGGTACGAGATGAAGCTAATGGCTATTTTCTCCATGAAGTAGCATAGAATAAAACTGATATTTTTGGTTTTTAACTGACCATTTTCTTTTTTAAAATACCTGTAACCACAAAAGGTCAAGTCAGCCTAATAGAATGATGAAACATAAACTCCATTTGAAGTTGCGGATGCACATCACACATATAGAAACCACACAACCCAAAGAACCTCAACATTCATCATGACACAACAGGTTTTTTCTCACTGCTACAACTACTACTAGCTTTGCCGCTTGATGGCAACTTTGTTGCTTGGCTTGTAATACTGAAAACAAACTGTGCACAACCAAGCTTTATGTAACTCCCATGATGCAACAGGGCTGTGCCTTCCCATCCTGCACCACTGCCACCAATCAGGTTTGAACTACTAGTAGTACAGTTACAAGCTTTGACGATCTTTTGCACACCAAGACCAACAGTTCTTCGAGATCCTTTTGGTTTGGAGTTTTGTCTCACTTGTGCAGCAGCAAGCAATTTGTTTTTGCTGACTTTGGAAGGGTCAAGATCCTTTGAAGACACAACATGTCTGTTGATTTTATCAGAAAAGTCACAAGAGTATAAGACGTTGTCTACGTATGTTCCATGTTCACTGTAGTTTATAAGTTCATACTGTTTTGATGTCTGTGGAAAGAAATAATACAAAATTATTACAGTGAGTTGTAAAGAAGGTCTACAATTTCTGCGTACATTCAGGACCTCCGTCTTACATTTCAAACAAGAATTGCAGACGTGTTTATTGATTCAAACTTTCAATGCACCTACAGTGCATGGCATAAATATCAGTATGGCATCTTAAAGAGTGCATTTCTTTGCGATCATCTGGATCACTGATTCAAGAGACTCAGATTTTATGGTGCATCAAAGGAACTAATAAATCCTTGCCCAGCACTTTTAAGTCCTGGACATAAACACTCCTAAAATGCTGGATCCAAATAATGCCTACAGATATACTTTGTCCTGCCACTACATATCTGAGCAGTACCTCATCATAAAATATAGAACAATGCTTTTCAGAAATGAAGTTGCAATGTCCATATTCTTGAAGACAAACATCCATATCTGGACCTAAAAAAAAAAGAAAGCAAACAGAATACTCAAAACCTTTTGTCAGGAAGGAATTTTAATAGTACATGTAATATCACTGCATCTTCCCAAAAGTGTCATCATCATCAACATCGTCATTTGTCCTTTTCAAGCCAAGTGATGCATAACGCCTTCACACTATTCCTCCAACTGGGCTGGTTCTGTGTTGCCTTTTGGGTTTCACTCCATGAGATACGAGCCAAAGCCAGCTCTTTCATTGCAGTCCTTATACATAACATTCATTTCGTAGATCTATTTTGAGTTCCTTGAAAGCTTAACTATCAGATTAGAACTAATTATGGTAAATTCAATCTACATTTCTCCGGTCCTTCTATCTCGAACAATCTGGATGAAGAGATAAACTTTTTATCTAAACAAACCTTGACTAAGCAATTTCTAAGTTCTTATGCTTAATGCTAGCTTAGTATTTTTTCTTTAAGGTACTATCGCTCTTAATTAAACAGTGCTCTGTCTATAACTAGTACTATTACTACTTATATTTCTTTTTATATTTATATCTATATATATATTTTTCTCTTTCTACCTCTTCTTTCCTTTATTTTTCCTACAACCTATTTACAGTGTAATAATTCTTGTAACTACTCAGCTCATTTAGTTTTTACTATTTTGAGTAGTTTTTTTGCTTATTTAAGTTTAATGTATTCTTTGCTGTATGATATTCTCTGTATTATTGTGCAAAATAAAATGGTGGTGGTGGTTGTTGTTGTTGTTAACTTTTTATTTAGCTTTTAACTGATCTTCTTAGAATGCCAAATTTGTAATCATATTTATTAAGTGAATGAAATAAGCCTAAGTATTCCACAGTTTGCATAGCTGAATGTGAACTTCATTGAATTCAATATGAAGCATCATTATTACTGTTAATTTGATCAATATTAATACTATCATCTGACAATTCTTAAACTTGTCAGCCAATTAAAAAGTCAACAACCGCATCTACAGATCATACTTTGACTTCTTCAACTCATACATTAATGAGAAATGGCCATCATTAAGACAACAACCAAAATCTTTGTCAACGATGAACAATATGGCAGAGGAAAGTGATAAACCACAAACCTTGTCCCAAAGACAGACACTTATGAATCATTGGACACACAGGACCAGTCCCTGATAATGGACACAACACTGCTATGGATCTACCTGCAGGAACTTCAAGAGAAAATGCATTATACATCAATAGCACTGTCAGAAGCAGAACAAAGCGCAACAACTCTATTGTAAATAATTATTGTAAATTTATCATCTAACAAAGCAGATAATCTAATAGAGATTACTTTCAACTTTGCCGTCATATTCAGCAAGAAAGGATACACTCCAGGTTATAATCCAAAATACATTTGACTATGTATACACAGCCACTTTGACTTGACAAGAATTACTTTAAGCACACCATTTTTTGATTCCCTGATTACTTACCAGCTTGTTGAGGGAGAACTATTGTTTCTTTTAAGCCATTGAAAGAAATTTTTCTAGCTGCTCCTGGGCTTGGGGGAACAGGCTGCAATTGATAAAACAAAAACTTAGTAAATCTAAAGCCCCGGCCAAACAATCGCAACATGTTGCGTGCGTTTGGCCACCGTGTTGCGATGTGTTGCGCCATGTTGGGTGTT